ACTACTTGTCACCTTATTAATCGTTTGTCTTCTTCTGTGTTAAATGGGAAAGTCCATATTCTGTTTTTTTTTCTAGTGAGCCCTTATTTTCCTTACATTATAAGGCTTTTGAGTGTATTTGTTATGTTCACAACTTGGGCCCCGGGATCAATAAACTTGACCCTTTGGCTACAAAATATGTATTTCTTGGATACTCCCGCACACAGAAGGAGTATCGTTGCTATAGTTCTTCCCTTCGTCGATACATTACTAGTGTTGATGTCACGTTTGAGGAATCTGTTCCGTATTTTTGGACACCTGCTCAGTCTTTGGATCTGAATTTTGGGTCATCTCTTGCACTACCACCTCTTCCCTTATTGTCAGATATTCTACTACCTACTGTACTACCATCTACTTCATCACTTTGTGTATACTCTCGTTGTCCTCGCCCATCGACTGAGGTTCCTGTACCGTCTTCCTTGCTGTCTCCGAATCCAAGTCCATCAAATAATTTAGATTTTTTACCTATTGCTCTTCGAAAAGATACTCGTTTGTGTATTACTAAATATCCTATTGCCCATTTTATTTCTATGGAGAGTCTCAAAGCCCGCCTTGTTGCAAAGGATTTCACTCAGACCTATGGTGTTGATTATGAAGATACTTTCTCTCCTGTTGCCAAAATCTCTTCTGTTCGTATCTTGATTTCTCTGGCTACTAATCTTGATTTGCCTTTATTTCAATTAAATGTTAAGAATGCTTTCCTGCATGGTGACTTGATTGAAAAGGTATATATAGAGCAACCACCTAGGTTTACTACTTAGGGGAAGTATAGTACGAGTGTATATCAATTAAAGAAATCTCTGTATGGTTTGAAGCAGTCATCGAGGACATGATTTGATAAATTTTCAGATGTAGTTTTAGAGTTTAGTCTCCTTCGTTGTCAGACAGACTACTCTGTGTTTCATAGACAAACGGATGCCAGGTATGTTCTTTTGGTGGTTTATGTAGATGATATTATAATTACTGAAAATGATTCTGAGGGGATTGCCAAGTTAAAAACTTTCTTGCAAGACAGATTTCATATTAAGGATTTGAAAAACTCAGATATTTCTTGGGTATTGAGGTGGCTCGATCTAAATAGAGTATTTGTTTATCCCAAAGGAAATTTGTACTTAATATGATAGAGGAAGCCGATTTGCTGAATGGCAGATCAATTGATGTTCCTATGGACATGAATCATAAATTGTTGATGGATGACGGTGCATTGTTTGAGAATTCGGGTCGATATTACAGGTTGGTTGGAAAACTCAATTATCTCACTATTACTCGACCGAATATTTTCTATACAATTAGTGTGGTAAGTCAGTTTATGGGATGTCCTAGAGTACCACATTGGCAGACAGTTACTCATATTCTNCACGCGTCTGACCACATGCCTGGTGCGTCTGATGTCTTTTCTACTTATCAGTCGGTTACTTCTACACACAGTGTCACTCTTGCTAATGGTACTTGCTCTAAAGTTTCAAGTTTGACGACTACTCATTTGAATCCTGATATGCCCCTATCCTCTGTGTTATTTATTCCTCAATTTTCTTTTAGTTTACTTTCCATTAGTAGGATTACTCGTTCCCTGAATTATTTCGTAATCTTTTATTCCTCTTATTGTATGTTTCAGGATCTCAAAATGAAGAGGAAGATTGGTGCAGGGCATGAAGCTGGTGAGCTATATTACTTTGACTTTAATTCACATACTCGGGCTCTACAAACCTCATTGTCCCCCTTTCAGTGGCATTATCATCTTGGCCATCCTTCTCTCCAGAATTTGAAGTGCGAAGTCCTAATTCTTAGTTATGTGTCGTCTATGCCATGTGAAGCTTGTCAACTTAATAAGCATCACCATATGTCATTTCAGTCTAGAGTCAATAATCGTGTGTCCAGTCCATTTGAGTTAATTCATTCTAATTTATAGGATCCAATAAAGAATATTTCATCTAATAAATATCCTTATTTTATGTCATTTGATAATTATTCTCCTGTAATCTGGTTGTTTCTTATAAAAGGGTGTTTTGAATTGTTTTCTATATTTGACACCTTTTGTAAGGAAATAAAAATCCAGTATGATTGTCGTATTCATATTTTATGTTTTGATAATACTCGAAAATATGAATCTGATCTCTTTTCGGCTTATCCGAGTAAAAAAGGCATTATTCATCAGATTTTCTGTGCTTACACCTCCCCACAAAAATGGTGTTATTAAGCAAAAGAATTGTCATTTGTTGGAAGTCACTCGTGCACTCTTATTTCAGATGAATGTTTCCCGTTATTTTTTAGAGTGATTGTATTCTTACTACTTGTCACCTTATTAATCGTTTGTCTTCTTCTGTGTTAAATGGGAAAGTCCATATTCTATTTTTTTTTCTAGTGAGCCCTTATTTTCCTTACATCATAAGGCTTTTGAGTGTATTTGTTATGTTCACAACTTGGGCCCTGGGTTCAATAAACTTGACCCTTTGGCTACAAAATGTGTATTTCTTGGATACTCCCGCACACAGAAGGAGTATCGTTGCTATAGTTCTTCCCTTCGTATTACTAGTGTTGATGTCACGTTTGAGGAATCTGTTCAGTATTTTTGGACACCTGCTCAGCCTTTGGATCTGGATTTTGGGTCGTCTCTTGCACTACCACCTCTTCCCTTATTGTCAGATATTCTACTACCTACTGTACTACCATCTACTTCACCACTTCGTGTATACTCTCGTTGTCCTCGCCTATCGACTGAGGTTCCTGTACCGTCTTCCTCGCTGTCTCCGGATCCAAGTCCATCAAGTAATTTAGACTTTTTACCTATTGCTCTTCGAAAAGATACTCGTTTATGTGTTACTAAATATCCTATTGCCCATTTTATTTCATATAATTCATTGTCTCCTGTTTTCTCTTGTTTCACAAATCAATTATCTACTATCTCTATCCTTAAGCACTTACAGGATGCATTGTCTGATCCGAGTTAGAGGAAAGCTATAGAGGAGGAAATGGATGTCTTACAGCATAATGGAACTTAGGACCTTGTTCCTTTACCCCTGGTAAACGAACTGTTGGTTGTCGTTGAGTGTATACTGTTAAATTTCATCTAGATGGTTCTATGGAGAGTCTCAAAGCCCGCCTTGTTGCAAAGGATTTCACTCAAGCCTATGGTGTTGATTATGAAGATACTTTCTCTCCTGTTGCAAAAATCTCTTCTATTCGTATCTTGATTTCTCTGGCTACTAATCTTAATTTGCCTTTATTTCAATTAAATGTTAAGAATGCTTTCCTGCATGGTGACTTGATTGAAAAGGTATATATAGAGCAACCACCTAGGTTTACTACTTAGGGGAAGTATAGTACGAGTGTATATCAGTTAAAGAAATCTCTGTATAGTTTGAAGCAGTCATCGAGGACATGATTTGATAAATTTTCAGATGTAGTTTTAGAGTTTAGTCTCCTTCGTTGTCAGACAGACTACTCTGTGTTTCATAGACAAACGGATGCCAGGTATGTTCTTTTGGTGGTTTATGTAGATGATATTATAATTACTGAAAATGATTCTGAGGGGATTGTCAAGTTAAAAACTTTCTTGCAAGACAGATTTCATATTAAGGATTTGAAAAACTCAGATATTTCTTGGGTATTGAGGTGGCTCGATCTAAATAGAGTATTTGTTTATCCCAAAGGAAATTTGTACTTAATATGATAGAGGAAGCCGATTTGCTGAATGGCAGACCAATTGATGTTCCTATGGACATGAATCATAAATTGTTGATGGATGACGGTGCATTGTTTGAGAATTCGGGTCGATATTACAGGTTGGTTGGAAATCTCAATTATCTCACTATTACTCGACCGAATATTTTTTATACAATTAGTGTGGTAAGTCAGTTTATGGGATGTCCTAGAGTACCACATTGGCAGACAGTTACTCATATTCTATGATATCTTAAACGTGCTACTAGTCTTGAATTGTTGTATCAAGCTAATGGGCACCTTAGTGTGGAAGGATTCTCAAATGCCGATTTAGCTAGCTCTCCATCTGATCAGAGATCAACTACTAGTTATTGTACTTTTTTAGGAGATAACATTATCACAAGGAAGAGCAAGAAACAACCCATAGTTGCGAGATCCAGTGCTAAGGCTGAGTATAGAGCAATGGCGTACATAACGAGTGAGTTGACATGGTTACTACACTTTCTCCAGGAAATTGGATATCCAGTCCAACTTCATTTACAGTTGTTCTGTGACNCATACATAACGAGTGAGTTGACATGGCTACTACACTTTCTCCAAGAAATTGGATATCCAGTCCAACTTCATTTACAGTTGTTCTGTGACAACTAGATAGCTATTCATATCGTTGTCAATCTAGTATTGCACGAGAGAACCAAATATATTGAGAATAATTGTCATTTTATTCGAAATAAGATAGTAGATGGAGAGATTACGACTCCATTTGTGAGATCTGAAGATCAACTTGCAAATATATTTACCAAAGCATTGTGTCGTACACGTCTTACAACAATTTGTTCCAAGCTTAGATTATATGATATATATATAGTCCAACTTGGGGGGGAGTGTTAAGAGTATTAGGGTATTGTGTGTAAATATTAGAGGATATATATGTCTTTTGTATTATTACAAGTTTTAACTATAAATACAAAGTGTTTTGTGAGAAGTAGGTTAAATTTTGACCCCTCTCCATTTCTCTCTAATATCGTGTTAATCCTCCCTACTTAACAAACTGCCCCCATATAATACGAGTATTTTGTAATTATGTATATACTCATATATAACGTATTAACCAATATTCATCTCTCCAGTATTTTGTAATCATGCATGCGTCGTCCCCCAGTGTCGGTGGCTTAGTCTGCAGCATTTATAATGTCAGTGTCTACAATTTAAAAAGAAAATATAACAGGATGATCTATTTATCAGGACATACAAAGAGGCCAATGGCAACAAAGATACCAGAGATTGTGCTCATCTAGGCCTCATACCTTAATGGCAACCTTCTGGCCTTTCTTGGCATAATCAACTGGCTTGTGATTGTTCTCAATTGATGCAATCCGCCCAATATCAATAAACTCCCTCTGGGGAATACAAATTGGAGTTCCAATCTGTATAAATGCAGAAAAAAAAAGAGGTGACTTACACAAATAAACAGTAATAAAAAAAAGGCGTCGTAATATTTTATTACTCAAAACTAATTCAGTACACACATGCACATAAAAATAATAAATATGATATTATCAATCTTGTATCTAAACCAGAACTCCGCCCAAAACATCAAATCATTCCCTCAAAAAATAGAAGGGTATAGATAAAGACATTGGCATAGTAGAAAATGAATTCTTTCCATGTCAAGAAATGTTTAAGAATTACAAGATTGTGCACAGCAAGATCATTAAAATGAATGAAGAGGAAAGATGTCGGTGACCCAAAAAAAAGGAGGAAGTGTAATAATACTCAGACATGCTTAATAAACTCATACAAATGATTAGTACAAAACAAGAAGTGGGTGGTTGACTTTGACAGCATTTGAAGATGTTTCACAGAAGGAATGCAATTTCTGGCCGGAAAATGTGGCAATGCAGTTATATTGGGGGTGAAAAGCTAAAGAAATCAAGGGGGTTGTGTTTTAAGATAAGAAATTAACCAACAGAAGAAAAATATTCCAGCAATCCCTCCCAAAATCCCTCCAGTTTCAGCTCCTTAAGATTTTTGCATCATGAATCACAAAAGCATCACCAATACTCGAACTCCAAATACATCTTTTTTTTCCTAAAAGACTAATAAACACCACATGTAAGGACCAAATAACATAACTCAATCTAAACTACGACCTATATATCACAGCCCAGGTCCTGCAAATTCAGAAATTACCAGGTAACTCATAGCCCATAATTTTAAATACATCACAAGCAAAATTTTACCAATAAATATTTACTTGTAGGTGATAGCATGTAAATCATCCTCGACTTAATTAAACAGTCTCTCCTATGGGAATCAAGCACAATTCCTAGCTACACTTTCTTACTCGAACACCCAGCATCATTTGAATTAATAGGTTATGCATTGAGAGCTCCACACACCACAGGATTGTTTCCATGAAATATGCAAGAATTCAAAAAAATACAAATATCGGATGTCCTTCCCCAATATTTGTTTCCAGGATTGCTAATACAAATACTTATAGNAGAGGTGACTTACACAAATAAACAGTAATAAAAAAAAGGCGTCGTAATATTTTATTACTCAAAACTAATTCAGTACACACATGCACATAAAAATAATAAATATGATATTATCAATCTTGTATCTAAACCAGAACTCCGCCCAAAACATCAAATCATTCCCTCAAAAAATAGAAGGGTATAGATAAAGNATCAATTGATGTTCCTATGGACATGAATCATAAATTGTTGATGGATGACGGTGCATTGTTTGAGAATCCGAGTCGATATTACAGGTTGGTTGGAAAACTCAATTATCTCACTATTACTCGACCGAATATTTTCTATACAATTAGTGTGGTAAGTCAGTTTATGGGATGTCCTAGAGTACCACATTGGCAGACAGTTACTCATATTCTATGATATCTTAAACGTGCTACTAGTCTTGAATTGTTGTATCAAGTTAATGGACACCTTAGTGTGGAAGGATTCTCAAATGCTGATTGAGCTAACTCTCCATCTGATCAGAGATCAACTACTAGTTATTGTACTTTTTTAGGAGATAACANACAAAAATAACATTTTAACAAAAAGCATAACATTCAATGACCACCATAAGAGAAGTTTAAGAATATTGCGTGGAGGAAAGCCAATTGGGCTAAACCGTATTAGTATATATTTGAAAGCAGAGATAATGGCACCAAAGTGCACATCCATAGTAGCCTATCATTTCTATAATCTTCTACGAGGCGCTGAGGAGATTTTTTTTGGTTTCTTTTTTTTTTTTNAAGGCTGAGTATAGAGCAATGGCGTACATAACGAGTGAGTTGACATGGTTACTACACTTTCTCCAGGAAATTGGATATCCAGTCCAACTTCATTTACAGTTGTTCTGTGACAACTAGGCAGCTATCTATATCGTTGTCAATCTAGTATTACACGAGAGAACCAAATATATTGAGAATGATTGTCATTTTATTCGAAATAAGATAATAGATGGAGAGATTACGACTCCATTTGTGAGATCTGAAGATCAACTTGCAAATATATTTACCAAAGTATTGTGTCGTACACGTCTTACAACAATTTGTTCCAAGCTTAGATTATATGATATATATATAGTCCAGCTTGAGGGGGAGTGTTAAGAGTATTGGGGTATTGTGTGTAAATATTAGAGGATATATATGTCTTTTGTATTATTACAAGTTTTAACTATAAATACAAAGTGTTTTGTGAGAAGTAGGTTAAATTTTGACCCCTCTCCATTTCTCTCTAATATCGTGTTAATCCTCCCTACTTAACAAACTGCCCCCATATAATACGAGTATTTTGTAATTATGTATATACTCATATATAACGTATTAACCAATATTCATCTCTCCAGTATTTTGTAATCATGCATGCGTCGTCCCCCAGTGTCGGTGGCTTAGTCTGCAGCATTTATAATGTCAGTGTCTACAATTTAAAAAGAAAATATAACAGGATGATCTATTTATCAGGACATACAAAGAGGCCAATGGCAACAAAGATACCAGAGATTGTGCTCATCTAGGCCTCATACCTTAATGGCAACCTTCTGGCCTTTCTTGGCATAATCAACTGGCTTGTGATTGTTCTCAATTGATGCAATCCGCCCAATATCAATAAACTCCCTCTGGGGAATACAAATTGGAGTTCCAATCTGTATAAATGCAGAAAAAAAAAAGAGGTGACTTACACAAATAAACAGTAATAAAAAAAAGGCGTCGTAATATTTTATTACTCAAAACAAATTCAGTACACACATGCACATAAAAATAATAAATATGATATTATCAATCTTGTATCTAAACCAGTAACTCCGCCCAAAACATCAAATCATTCCCTCAAAAAATAGAAGGGTATAGATAAAGACATTGGCATAGTAGAAAATGAATTCTTTCCATGTCAAGAAATGTTTAAGAATTACAAGATTGTGCACAGCAAGATCATTAAAATGAATGAAGAGGAAAGATGTCAGTGACCCAAAAAAAAGGAGGAAGTGTAATAATACTCAGACATGCTTAATAAACTCATACAAATGATTAGTACAAAACAAGAAGTGGGTGGTTGACTTTGACAGCATTTGAAGAGGTTTCACAGAAGGAATGCAATTTCTGGCCGGAAAATGTGGCAATGCAGTTATATTGGGGGTGAAAAGCTAAAGAAATCAAGGGGGTTGCGTTTTAAGATAAGAAATTAACCAACAGAAGAAAAATATTCCAGCAATCCCTCCCAAAATCCCTCCAGTTTCAGCTCCTTAAGATATTTGCATCATGAATCACAAAAGCATCACCAATACTCGAACTCCAAATACATCTTTTTTTTCCTAAAAGACTAATAAACACCACATGTAAGGACCAAATAACATAACTCAATCTAAACTACGACCTATATATCACAGCCCAGGTCCTGCAAATTCAGAAATTACCAGGTAACTCATAGCCCATAATTTTAAATACATCACAAGCAAAATTTTACCAATAAATATTTACTTGTAGGTGATAGCATGTAAATCATCCTCGACTTAATTAAATAGTCTCTCCTATGGGAATCAAGCACAATTCCTAGCTACACTTTCTTACTTGAACACCCAGCATCATTTGAATTAATAGGTTATGCATTGAGAGCTCCACACACCACAGGATTGTTTCCATGAAATATGCAAGAATTCAAAAAAATACAAATATCGGATGTCCTTCCCCAATATTTGTTTCCAGGATTGCTAATACAAATACTTATAGCAAGAATAATACCTTAGCAATGCCTTCAAGAATGTCAACCCCCAAAACAATCGGATCCTTTTTGTTAAAGATGCAATTAGGCATAATTTTGAGAACACACGGAAATACTGCATCCTCAGCAGCTTCCTTCTTCTTTTCCTCCTTGAGATTATCAATGTAGGCCTTAAACTGATCAAACAAGTGATAAATAATATCAGCTATGAATATTTTGACACCAAGTTCATCTGCAAGTTCCCGAGCCTCTGGTGTCACTTTCACATCAAAGGCCAAGATTGTAGCAAACTCTTTCTTCTTTTCAAGCATGACACTAGCCTTCATGACATCCTTCTTATGCACTGGGCCTATACCTATTCCACTAACAGGTATGTTTACCACTGGAGTCTTCAAGAACTCCAGCAATGCTTCCAGTGACCCAAGAGTAGATGCTTGAACATAAACTCCCTCGCCACTTTTGTCAATCCTGCTCATTACTGATCTCATATCTTCCATGGCTGATTCCTTGATATCTTCCACATCATCATCAGACCCCACCACATATAAAGCAGTGCCTGCAATTGCATGCTCAAGGCCCTG